TATAAAAATGATTTTTAAAACTATATAAATTTTCAGGATAATTGTGCTTTTCGCTCTACTTGTTAGGTTGTTGCGCTACTTGTTAGCTTGTCAAAACAAAAAATTTTTAAACTATTTATCTATTTAGTACATGTACATGTAATGTGTAATTAAAGCCCGGTTTTTTTAAGAACTTTGAGAAAACTGAGCAAAAATCACGTTAACCGGTTGCGGTTTTCACCGGTTGCCAAACCTTAGTTGTAAACTATTTTCAATTTTATTAGTTGTACAGATGAATTTTTAGTAACTTTAGGTTTTACTTGGCTTCTAGTAATCATATAAAGTATACATTTAAACAAAATAAAATATCTGAATAGAATGACAGCATTACAGCAATAGTAATATGTATACATAGCGACAAGTAGTATCTTATATCAGAAAAAGATGTGTGCACTAAAAAGTAAAGATATTTAGCATTAAGCATTTTTTAACAAAGTATATGTGCAGTATTCAATTCCAATTCTACTCCAATTATCGACCTATTTCACTTCTTTCTAACTTAAGTAAACTGTTTGAAAAAGCAATGTTCCAAAGACTCGAGCATTTTTTGGAAAAACATAAATTTATTTACAAACACAAGTATAGTTTTCGCAACAAACACTCAACAACTCATTCGTTTATAGAAATTATAGGGAAAATTAGACAAGCCATCGATAATAAACACTTAACGTGTAGAGTGTTTATTGACATAAGAAAAGCATTTGATACAAATGAGCACACAATCCTCCTAGAAAAACTGAAACACTACGATATTAGAGGTATTCCTTTTCTCTGGTTTTCCTCTTGTCTTTGTAATAGAACACAATTTGTTTCAATAAATGGTATCAACTAGCGATACCTTTTAATGGTGTTTCGAAAAGCTCGGATTTGGGTTCATTACTTTTTCATATTTTTATCAATGATTTAAATGTTTCTCTTAAATTTTCTACTGCTTATCACTTTGTGGATGACACCAACTTACTTCTAATTAACAAATCACTTGAAAAACTCAACAAAAATATGAATCAAGATCTAGCTAATGTTGTTCAATGGCTCCGCTCCAATAAATTATCTCTTAACTCTAAAAAAACGGAAATTATTTTGTTTAAATCTGTTCAAACAAAAATAAATAATCAATTAAATTTCAGATTAAGTGGGCAGAAAATAAATCCAGTTAACTCTATTAAATATCGTGGAATCAAAATAGACTCTAATTTATCTTTTGCATTGCATCTTCTAGACTTAGCATTGAAATTAAGCAGATTGAATGGTATTTTAGCTAAAATTCGTCATTAAGTTAATCATGAAACTTTGCTTAATATATATCATACTATTTTTCACTCTCATCTCAGATATGCTTGCCAAGTTTGGGGGCAATCTAAGCAGCTTGCTTTTTTAAGACTAACTTATCTCCAAAACAAAGCTCTATAATTAATTTACTTTCAACATACAAATTTAAACTGTAGCATACTCTCCTTTTTATTATTTAAATTGTGTGACCTTATTCAGCTATCAAATTGCCTATTTGTTTGGAACCAAAATCATAATAACCTACCTTTTACATACATCAACTTTTTTAGTTATAGGGAAAATTGTAAATATATTCTACGATCTGCTTTTAACTTTAAACTATCTGGACCTAAATACCGAACTGTTCATTACGGCTACGAATCTATTCAGCATAAAAGCATACAAACCTGGAACAACCTCCGTTCCCAAATAAAATCTCTTAAATCATTCTCAAAATTTAAAACTGCTCTCTTTAACCATTTTTTAGAAAAATACTGTTTATAAATCTTATATCTTTTTACAACTTATTATTTAT